GTGTCGCCGAGAGCACGTATTTTTGATCGTGATCACCACAAAGTGGTCGACATCGATTCTCTTACCAAATTGATGAGGTGGATTCTTTTAACAGATCCTTTCCAGTATTAAGTCCATCGATGGAACCTTTCCTGATTCTCTGACATATTCGAATTGTCAGCATTCAGAGCGAATTATGTGGCTATACAAGCGAGGATGTTGTTCTTCGGTGTCAACGAAAACGAAATCTGAAGAATGTTATTTTTGCAGATACAATGATTACACTCACGACGAATTCAGTAGATGCAACTGCACACCACCATACTCAGCTGAAGCAGCAATCTCAGCACGAGGAGACTTAAATCCAGCTGATGGTATTTATCCTGTGTCAATTATGGGTCATCGTAATCATGGAGGACTTGACTATAAGGTTGAACATTCAATAGCTCGATTTACGAACAAGCAAATCATATACGAGAAGTTAGTAACGTAAGAGATGAAAAGCATCATGAAGAGAAAGATATTTGTTTGTGGTGAATAGATTTACGAAACATTCGTTAATTATTCTAAGCATTCGTGAAGATATGAACCCTTCTGAGTAAACACGAAGATCATTAGAAAAATCAATGCTCAGTTTTAATTCCGTGATAACTTGAAGTAATTTCGTTAATTTCTAAGGAAGAAAGCACTGCAGTTCATTGAAACAATATTTAAGGGAACCAACTACGAAATGTTCCAAAAGCTTCGCTTTCGTGCTATAGGATGTCCAACGTATGATAATGTGCCTCCGTTCCAATGGAGTAACTTTGATTACGTGAGTTCCTTCCTCGAATGATCTCGAGAGCTTTGGCAGTTATCTGTTCAGTGAATACACTATTTGTGCGGTTAATATGCTGTTCAACTGCGATTCGAGGGTTCGAAAGCGATTCAAAAAATACTTTTTCAAAAATAGCTTCAAAGAGCACCAAAAATTGGATAGACACCAGTATTTCTTTAATTAATTGAGAAACCTGTAAAAATAACCACAGTATCAAAGAAAGCAACCGTGATGTCAACCTCAGTACATGAAGCAGGAAAGAGGAGTGGGGTCAGTCCTGGGCTCACACACACNTAAGTAATTTCTTTGCTCACTTCTAATGCACCGTACTGACTATTCGTTTTTGCATTGAAACAAAGCACTTAAACGTTCGATATTTCAGTTATGCGTAAAACGACTTTTGAAAGTTTGATATTTTATTAAGACATACTAAAGCCTCCTATTTTCATTTTGATGCTATGTCCATTTCGATATTTCAATTTACGCTGTGACGGAAGATTATGATCAGAATGAATATCTTTTGAGTTATTGGTTAAAATAACTCAACAGTTGGTTAAAATAACCGATAATATCGAACAGTTCAAACCGTTAAGCTTTTGAGCGATGAAATTATCAAACCGTTTGTTGTTTTCCATTATTTTCCACTATCAAACCATCTGAATTTCGAAATTTTTGCATTTAATTTTGCATTTTTACAACATATCATTTAAAACACTCCAAAAATCCAACTATTTAGCATCATTTCAATATCGTTCAGGGCCTGAACGATTTCTTCCCATTACGTGACTTGTATTAAGCTTTAGGAATCCCTTCATGTTATCTCTTAGTTATCATGTCTCATTCGTTTACACCTATTGCCACCAAATTGTGGTCGAATAAGTTAAGTGTAAATGAATAATACCAGTTGTTTTTTTCATTAAAATGTTCTCACCTTCCGTTGATCACATTCTAATGAAATACACCGTAACTAAAGAAATTATCGCATGAAATACATGGAAATGAAATCATAC